TTTTTTTTCTTCATTATGAAGTATTCAAAGCATCATACTTTATCATTTGGAGCAACAACAGCAACTACACGCATTCCCATAGCAACAGCATATTTAATAGCAGTCGATCCTATGAATTAGATTCAAGATAATAATTATTTTTGAGAAAAAAAAAATTCTTTTATTCACCAAGACCACCAACGCCAACAATTGATACCCATTCACCAGGTCGAACCTGAGAAACTTTTAATGCTTTATAAACAGTTACACCAGCACAAAAGAGTGGTGCTGATTTATATGGATCCATACCATCCGGCAATTTAACAGCAAAATTACCATTCATAAGAACATATTCAGCGAAACAACCATCAACTGAGAAACCAGAATTAATTTGTTGTTTACAAAGTGTTTCTCGTCCAGTTAAACAATATTCGCAATGAAGACAAGTTTCCTGTATCCAAGGAACACCAATAATATCACCTTTTTTCAAATGATTACCAACCATTGAGCCTATTTCTACTATTTCACCAATACCTTCATGCCCTATAATACGTGGTAGTTCAGGTTTAAAATCCCAATCTATATGGAAAGAAAATCAGAGATTTATATTCCTATAAACAGAAATTTCTCATTTTTTACCTCCATGAGCAAGATGTAAATCCGAGTGACATACACCACAAGCAATAGTTTTAACTAAAACATCAGTTGGTTTAGGTTTTGGAATTTTTACTTGTTTGATTTCAAGTGGCCTTTTAAAAGCTGTTGTAACGGCTGCTTTCATCATTTTATTTTAACCTGAAAAAAGAAATAAATCGTAAATTATGAACCAGAAAATATACATATCATTCGAACTGTGAAAAATTTGAAATTTTCACGACAGATAGACCTTGATGAGTAGAGCAAATGTTATCATAGACTCCAAATTTATGAATGTTTTCTTCTTTGAAATACTGGGCTAATTGTTGTAAAAAATTGCCCCAACTTTCGCCTCCATTTCTTCAAGATTGTACATTAGATCGAGTTGAAACTCTTTTTTACGAACACTAAGCACTATTTATGGTGGATGATAGTTTTGATTTCTCTTTATCCTTTGTCCTTCGAGGAAAAAAGCAAAATATCGAAGACACTCTAAAAATGTATGTTTTTTTGAAGGAGCTACAAAAATAATCAACGAAACAATATATTTTGCAACAAAAACACAGCACCTAGTATATGAGAAAAAAATTTCATATCAATGAGACTTACTAAGCCGGAAAAACGAGTCGATTGTGCGCTTTTTTCGTTATGTAAATTCGATTTTTTTCTCTAATTTTTTACAGTTCAAAGACAATATTCTGGTTTGAAAACATAGTCAGTAGATAGATACCATTTAGGACTGTATAATGATCACAAAAACTAAAAGCCAAAAAACCAAAAATTTTGACTCAGGAAAGAGAGTACCCTTAAACAGTCAATGTCACATATGTTACGATGCAGAAAAAAATACAGCTTGATTATAGGTTAGATGAGCAGTCGGGGTAGTGCGTTCGAACATAGGAAAAAAAAGAAGTATTATGCTACGTGGAGAACGAGCAAGAACACACCTATCATATGATAAGTGTCTTTGTACTTTTATCTTTGAATAATTCAGAAATATATTTTATGGTAAATGATCGAAATTGCTGTATCATCTAATTGTCCCAAAAAGACGTGCAAAACACAAACAAGAATAGACTTGAAAAACCACGTTCAAGTTAATTATAAGCGAAAAATGGAAAAAAATGTGCATCATGAAAACTATTATTACTTTATTCACAAACATTTGGGATCATTTACATATGAAGCCAAGAAAAATAACACATTGTTTACCTTGGTTGATAATCTCAAAAGTATCAGTTACTGTTTGGCCTGGCGAGGTGTTGTATGTTATAATTAGCTACAGAATACGCAACATAAAATAAAATACAAGCAACAGTAGCAGACAAGTGAGAAGAACAGAAAGAGAAAAATATGTGAAACAGTCGCTAGAAATGAAGAAAAACACGTTCGTATGAAGACTTTGGACGACAGAATAACATAATAGAATGGACTATATGCGGTTAGTTGTTTTCTCAGATGAATTCGTTGTAACCATAAGATTATTTTGGGAAAATCATGTAGACTATGGTAAAGAAAAGAAAGAAATAAAACAAAAATTCGTCGTACTAGCAGAAAGAAAAAAAAAGAAATAGATAAAATCCTTCATTTTCAACAGGAACCGGATAAAGAAGCATGTTTTTATCAATCTTACTATATAGCTAAAAATTGATGAAGCATTGATCTGTATGCAATATAATCATCTTCAATATATCTATTCATCGTACCCATAACTACGGTATCAAGATTTTAAACATACCTATTAGGTTATTTACCTGATGCATCCCCCATTATCAAATGTCATTAATTTAGCAATTTTGACTGACTTTGGTATAACGAGACGAATACCCAACTCGATTCCCATTTATCTTCAGATTTGAGGATTTTGAGCGAATGGTATGGATGCGGATATTATTTTTACTCTCTCCCTCTTACTCTAAAAAGCCAAAACTACATCCTCTGAAGAAGATACGTTTGACAACAATGATAAAAAGGTAGATATCTACAGGGTGGCGCAAAAGTCACTTTACCGGAAAAAAAAATGAATATCTCCATTACGGCTCGAGCAAACGAGCTGATTTTTTTTTATCAATGATAGAGGTATGTTCAAGCTTTATATCCATAAAGACAAGCTTAAAGACACCCTTCGTTAAGTATCACTAAAGACTTCAACAAAAAAATTTTACTTTTTCGCAGATAGGAAAAAAAAATAATATACTTAACAAAGGATCTCTCTAGTAAGTGGAGATATTCAATTTGTTTTCGGTAAAATGACTTTTGTGCCATCCTGTAGTAGTCAAACCTATATTTAGAATAGTATCATATCGCTATAAGGACAAGCTCAACTATTTACGAAATGTTAATAAAAACACCAAAAATATTAAATGCATAATCCTACCGAAATTTTGTAAAATCATACCTTTTCTACAAAGAATGGTCAGACGTGATATCTTTTCAAGTCTACTATTTGGACTGAAAGTCGACAATTTTTCGCATCATGCCCACAGGATAAATCACTCAACGATCTATCCCGTTCTTTTCCTATTACAAATTCAGAAACTATCCTCTTATATTGTCTTCTGACGTCTGATAAGGTAGAGTGTCCATAAAATTATACCGAAGATTGGTCTTTCTAAACTTCCTACTATCTCTAAGAATTGTTTTGATCAATTGAATAAAACTTTCAATAAAATAGTTAAATATAAAAGTAGCACTATCTATGTATGTATTTATATAAAAGGGTGGGTATGGGTGTGGGTGTGGATATGAATACAAGTGTTGATGAGGGAAGACAATGGCACCCACATCCACATCCACAATCACCCACCCTTCGAATGTGGTGAATGTTATTTTTGTTAATAAGATGTGCTCTACACCAATATTTCGATAAATACTCAATTGGAAACAATATTTTGTCAGAAAGGGAGAGAAGTAGTATCGCTATAATTTCAAATAGAGTAAATAATGAATTTTATACCAAACGAAAGCCCGTCAAAATGGAGTTTATTGGCACTAAACAATAAAAATTATGGAAACTTTCGTATGTTAAAATGTCTAAATTTAGAAAATTTCACCGATCATAGGTGTGAGAAAAATTATTGATGAGATAAAGTCCGAACTAAATGTGATAAAAAAACTCTATTTTTTCATTGTTTAATGAATACAATCAATAATCAGTATTGACGACTGTTAGCGTTCTTGACTGCATGCAGTCGAGATGAATGCGAACATAAAAGAGTTTCAAATAAATCAGTGTCGGTTTCCATGTTTGTCAACACATCTGAAATGTGCATTTTGAGTGTTTCTTCAAGATAACGAGAATGTCCAGTTTCTGATCACATTTTCTTTTCAACTTCATCCTTGGTTATTTTTCCAATATGTTTCGCCGCATTCATATCGAGTGAATTTCCAGGCCAAATACCATTACCTCAATTTCACGTCGTTATCTTGAAGCAAATGTTGGGTCTGATTTGCTTGCATACCTGGTGGTTTATCATGGAAAAATATAACTTCATCGAGATCGATAACATTTTCTTCAGTTTTTAAGAACAGAAATACGTTTTGAGTCAAAATTATGTCATGAAAGCATTGACAGATCCAGATTCATCTTTATCTTTAATCACTCAAAGTAACCTCTTGACAATAAACATAACAAATATCGCAAAATATACTGATTTTTAACCGTTTACGATATCTTTCACCTTCTTCAATATCTCCAATACTTGTTGCCCAAATTCGATCATTCTAATAATTTGGTCGAGGAACAACCTAGACATAAAATTCATCAAATGATGCGAGATGAAGAAAGTCCTCTTCAGTCCAATCTTTTAACTAATCGCACAGTCATTGTCGATCTGATATATGAGTTTCCGATTTTAACGATTTTGGGATAACATGGAACAGCTTTAAACCTTCCCGATGACTGTAATTATTGATTGTTCTTGGAACGATGTACTCTTTTTGATTTTCTACAATTTCATTTGCCACAACAGAACAACTTTTTCTTTGTCGACCACTCGTTTTAAGAATGATGTCTTGACTTGCTTGTAACAATTTAAGGTTTGGATCAGCATTTGAATGACCGCCAAAACATTGGTCATATGGTTTTTCCCACCAGTATGTGACAAATCGAATCGAGCGGTGAACTTTATCCACGACCCTATGTCAATTAATAAATGTCGCACCAGCATCTTGAGCTTCATGAAAAGCGAGACATTTAATTCTGTCAATAATTCTCTGCTCTTCAGTATCATAAGTACCAGCCATTTTCAAATATTTAGACTTAATTGATTCACTGAAATAATAGGGTTTTTTTATGAAAGAATTGATCAGAAAATGATTGTATGTATTGTTTCATAAACTGTTTCAACTTTTCTGTTCTATAACTTTCTAACAGAAGAAAAATAGAAAAAATCTTTTGTATTCACCGCCATCACGAGGAACAGACAACAGAACGCAAAAAGACAATCGCACTTTCTGAATCAGAGTTAGGTCTTATGATCACTAGAACAATGTTCTTTGCAGTTTTTCCAGAGAAAATTTCTTTTTTTCTTTGTCTTACAACCCGCTAAAAATGAATTAATAACGATCGCATTATGCAAAATTCTTTAAACTTCGAGAGTTTCAATATACGAAAGTTGAGTGTGGATGTGGAAAGAAGTGTGAGTGGGTGGATAGATATGAGTTTTGTGTGGGGTATGGTTGTTTCTCTTTTCGAGGCACACCCACACCAACACTCTAGTTTTGTTCGCTTAATTAAATATATATTTAATCATAGAAAAATGTAAAAATAACAAAGAAAAAGAAAATGTTTTTTTTTTGTCTTTTTTATGTTTTTCATTCAGGTCGTTTTTTTGCAACGAATATAAGTCCATAAAGAACTAATGAAATAACAGCAAAGTAAAGTGCTACGATTTCTATTCCAAAACACCATCCAATTTTGACATCATAGTCTGCCTCTGTTAAATTATTAAGTTGATCTACCCAAGTAGCATTAATCGTCACTAAAACAAATGATATATATTAATTAAATCATATGAGTATTAAAACAAAAAAAAAGTTTCTATTTAAATAATACCATTATAAAGAGCATCGTGCAAATAATCTCGAAGTTCATAAACATCTTGTTTTAATGTTGCACCTACAAAAATTAATGTAATGAAGATACATACGATCGAAAATATTAAAAGAGAAAAAGAAAATGGAATTAACCACTTTAACATATAATCAGTTTTAGCAAACGAAACTAAATGTGTTAAAAGCACCAAAATTCCAAGTGCACATGCTGCTAATATAGTCATTGCCACAGTTCCTTTTGTTCCACTACTATAACTATTTTATTAAATAGAATTAAAATATTTGTTTTGGATCGTTAAATAACACATACTCGCATTGACAAACGTCTAAATTCGAATATTTTATGGAACAATAAATATCAGGTAGTTGATTTGCTTTAGCGAGACAATCCATTGCTTGATATGGATTTTCTGATACAATAAATTTATTTGGAATACAAAGTTGTGTTACAAATTCATTTATATGTTCATTGAAATTTGAGTCATTAATTGAAAATATTGTTGCCACTGATGAATCATAACAACGTTGAAGTAATGATGTTGACCATGATGCTAACGGAATTCTTGGATCACAATTACGACATATATTTGTTTTCCATCGATTAGATGACATTGCAAGTATATGCAATACTAAAGTTATTGTTATTGTAAAAAGAACAACACTACCTAAACGTTCTAGTCGCTTCATCACAACCGTTTATTTTCATAAAATGCTCCAATTTTTCTTTTTGTATCAATACATTCTATGAAGAAAAACAAAATATTTTTTCTAACTTAATAAGTTCTGCATGATCAATTAACCGTACGAAATAAATCATACTAATAATTATTACCTTAATGAATAAATAGAAACAGTTCGTCGCTTCCAAATTGCGAACAAAAATTAAACCAATTAAGCAAAAAGTGTTCGAAATTTGGAACACAGAAAATAATGTTGATCTTATTTTTATTGCGTTTCCAAATTGTGAACACTTTTAATAATTAAGTAATATAGTTTTAATTAGACAAAAAATTTATTAACAACAGAAATACATAACAAAAAAACTATTCCTCATCACTACTATCTTTGGTATCTTGAATATATATTTGATTTGATAATAAGATAACTTTTTCACCTCGTACAGTTGTTGACCAAGTAAAATTTGTATTCATACTTTGAATTATGATACCATTCTTATTCTCAAACTTCTATATTTATATTATTAATAAAATTGAACTCATAATCAGCTATTGCAATCACTAATTAATCAAAGTGTTCGCAATTTGGACATGCAATAAAAATAAGATCAACGTTATTTTCTGTTTGGACATAGCCAGACAGTTCAATGACATGATCTATGCATTACCTTGACCCTGTTAATCATATTAGGCTTTTTTTACGGGTGTTGGTTGTGTTTTCACCAACATACACATCCTACAGCCATACCTACACCGAGATCCATACACATATGTCACAATAAACTTGGTGCAATAATGTTTATTATTAAAAAAAATTAATATTCTGTATCGAATATTTATTCGACAATAAGTTGCAGATATAAATCAATGCAGAATTTCATGCAAACAAATGAAATCTACTACTAGACGATCAAAGAAAAAGTAAATCTTTTATATTATTTTAGATCAGATAAAAAAAATCTGTGAGAGATAAGAATAATCGACGATATCCACTTTGCCCAAACCTCACAATCACACCTATACACCCACATTCTATTGATGTCTATCAGTGAAATATCGATGAATCATCAATGTGGCATAAACTCTTTTCTACCGACGCGAGATATTTGATTAGTTGTAAAATAAAATTAATAAACATCATAGCTACGGCAGTAATCATGCATTAATTGTATACATTTGATTCTTTCGTTCATAGAAAAGATAAAGTGTATAGTACCAAAAAGATGCACAAAAGAACATGAATTACAGATCGTTTAGACCATAATCAATGACACAAATAATGTTTTCTCATTTATGCTTCATCATATCATTGTATGGTATTATATTTATATCGTAAGATTATGATTTTTATTCTTAAATAGTAAGACTTTGTTAGAACAGCGGCAAATTTATTTAATCAGTTACAGTATGGATTATTATGATAGTTGTATCGGTAACATGATTAGTTTCATTTGAGTCCTTAGATAATAATTCAATACCTTCGAGCAAGTAGGTCGTACATAACATATTTTTGTCTAAGTGATTTTATTGTGCATTTAATTGTAAATCATGTCAGAATATATTGCTTGTATGCTATTCACGTTCTGTTCTCCTTATGTACTATACTTATAATAGAATGGTAATTAACTTTATTTACTCCTATAAGATTTGTAAAGACTATTGCTGAAGTATCTTACTTTGCGATAGAAGAAATCAGACAGAAATATTTTATCTATATCCTATTTCAATATATGGCCAAACAATGATGCAACGAAAGCTTTTCTATAATATGAAAAGAATTAGTCTAATATACAAAAAAACTGAATACAAGAAAGTGTAGATTAAAAATTTAATTCAGAGCTAATATTCCGGATCCATCCATTACAGTATAGTTGTGTTGACATGTTCCAGATGAGGGTGTTCATTTTTTGATCTTCGGTAAATTTCCAAAAAATAGGTCGAAAATAGTATTAATCTGACACTAAAGATTTATGGGTTCATATGAGTGCAGATGGTAGGTGTCATCTCGTCAAAATAGAATTTTGTTTTTTTTTCGACTGCGATTTCGAATTATGAAAAATTAGTGATGCCAAAAAATGTTACAAGGGCATTGCTATTAGTCGTCATAGAACACATAGAATATTGTTTCCAGTTCTTTTTTGATAAGTTTTAACAACAACATTTCTCTACATCTATGATTTATAAACTTCTCAAAATCGTTAATATTTCGTACGAACAAATCCGACCTTGCAACAAACTTTAGTTTAGTACAAAATTTGATTATTTATATTATTCGATATGACAATGGTATATCTAGAAATATACTATTACATATCCTCAATGTTTTCCATTAAAACTAGATGATATAGTAGTCTTTTCTGATTCAATTTCAACACACAAACTAACTGCTATTTTCTTTTGTTTTTATCATTATTGATGAAATTAATGCTATCATGCAGTTTTGTTAAATTTTTATCATAATGATTTCACTTGAAGCGTTTTTATATTGATGCCATCTCTTCATTTTTACCAAACTTATTGATCGAACTCAAGAATTATTCCTTCATTTGTTGTATTAATGCTAAGCATTACTCTAATTATTACATATCAAGTCAAAATTAATCATATTGTTGTCTTACCATCATCTAAAGATTTTGAAAAACGTAATCTTTTTGATTGATAGTTCTATTGAACAAAGGTCACTAGCGGTGATTTTTTTCCACTATATTTAGAGTAATTTAACATATA